CAGCAGTGTGTGTGTGCTGTGTGTTTGCAGTTTCCTCCCCTCTGGAGCGGTCCTGTGAGACAAATCCGAACTACGTTTTTTACACACAACAGTGTACACTAGTGTCCAATCAGTGAAACAGAGCCGCTGGATGAGTCTGTGTATGAATGATGTACGATTTAATGTTGTACTAATTGTTTCCTCGTCTGCCTGTCTGTGCGTGCTTTTTGGCATGCTGTTCTGTGTGTGTGTGTGTGATCAGTTGCAGGACGAGGAGCGACGGCGTAAGCAGCAGCTGGAGGAGATTCGTAAGCGGGAGGCGGAGGAGAGGGCAAAGCAGGAGGAGGAGAGGAGGTGGAGGGAGGAGGAGAGAGCCAAACGAGAGGCCGAGGAGAAGGTCGGTTTGTTTGCCTGTGACATTATCGGAGTTTGTCTGGTTAGAGTTAATGAAAGTTAATGATTGTAGGATGTTTAGGATGTTTTGTTATGATACTGTAGCAGTTTGAGAGTAGAAGTTTTTACTTTCAGTATCTTCAGAATATTCTTTAAATGTTACCTTCTTGTCCGTCGGAAAAAGCCTCTAAAATAGCATTTAAACCATCATTTAACACTATAGTACAGGAGGTTTAGATAACTGTATAAAGTTAAAATAACCAGGAAATTTAGTTTAAAGCAATAGTTCTACATTTTTGGAAATAGGCTTCTTTGCTTTCAAGGAAAAGTCGGACACATAAACCCTGTGGAAAACCACAACTTTAGTTTTTGTACAGATGACACAAACTAAATATAATGTGTTTTTGAGCTTTGGAGGTGCTGGTTTGGTAGACGGAGCCAGTTTAGCTGTTTCTGTCTTTGATCGCAGCGATCTTCTCATCCTCTTCTGAACAAGAAAGCAAATAAGTGTATTTCCTAAAATGTCAAACTATTCCTTTTAAAAAAGCGTTTTTTTGTCTGTTTAAATAAACTGAGGTTTGGTAAACTCTTTAAAAAGACATTCTTGGGCAGATTGCATTAATTACTTCCTTCATAGTGAGGATGAAAGCCTGGAGAAGAATTATATTAATCTGTTCATCTACATGTATAAATAACAGATTTATATAAATCCAAAATAACATCCTCACCTCCGTTATATCAGAGATAGACGAAACACAATATCGGTCCAAGTCTAGGATGTACAGTGACTTTGGAAAGTATTCGGGACCCCTTCACTTGGTGCACACTTTATGATGTTACACATTTAATTTAAAATGGATTACATTTATTTATCTGACAATTAATTCTACACATAATAATCTGCACACTGGAGCCTTAATGTGGAATTCCAGAGCAAAGAGTCTGAAAATAAAGTTGTTTGTCGTAGTGGTTTATTGATCGGGAGGTTATTGTGAAATTTGGTGCCAATACGGATGTTTAAAAGAACAATTTGGTTGATATGAATGTTTTTTGTTGTTGTTAATTCCTCCTTTTGTGCCGGGCAAACAAAGAAACCTTTATTAATACATCATATAATATATGAACTGTTAAATCATTCAGCCCTTCATTACACTGTCTTCAAACGAGATGACTGAAACAACCTTTATTATATTACCTTCTTCCACATGAAAAATTCCACTTGAAAAGCCTTTTGCCGGTGAATGTCATCTTATTTGCCAAGAGTCAGCGAGGAGCATACCGATAAATGATACACGTCTAGTCACTGAGTATAGAATTAATTGCCACATATCTATTTAATAATACAGTAAAGTGTGCAGCAGGTAACGGGGTTTTAATACTTTCTGACGCCACTGTATACACTGTATGCTGTAATGACTTGTGTTTTCTCCTTCCTTTGTCCAGGATACTCGGTTAATATAGAGCACTCAGCTAATTTGGAGAGGATACGTGTTCCTATAAAATGTGTTTATTAAAATGTAGAAATAATTTAAATCTGACATTATTTTGTACTTTGGAGGTTTTAAATGACCAGTGGTCTGATCTGGTGTCCACCCACCCATCTCTGTCCTGTGTGTAAAATCAAACATGTTTTTTTTAATCATCGTGTTGTGTCCATTGACTTCACCATGATGCCATTATTCTGGTGCATTTGTCCCGTGAACTGTAGACCGCCGATCACACCACTGGTTGTTTAAAAACCCGGACAAAGACGAACCTCGAAGCCTCCACAGAAAATATATGTGGTTAAAAAAAAAACTCACAGAAGTTTAATTAGTTTTATCCGTTAAGTCGTAGCAAGTATTTGGTAGAGATCCTACTGTCTTTGAGAAAGAGGTATTGTTTTTAAGATGTTATGACTGTTAATCTAATGCTGTTTGTTTATATGTAAAAATGTCCAATTGCATGTCCTCATCCTGTGCACCCCCCCCCCACCCTATGTGATGTGTTGCCGTGTCATGTTATGTGCTCCCAACCACCTTAAGCATGGGACTCCCATCACGTTGTTGTTGTTGTTGTCGTCGTCGGTGTGTGTCAGGAAGTTAAGTTGTTTCAGTTTTTTGGGGAAGCAGTTATGATTTTGTGAGATTTTCTTTTTTATTTAATTTGATTTCTTTGTGACCATTTCCATCCGGCATCGCTCTAGAAAACTATGTTTAGGGAATGCCGCCCCCACCCTCCCACTTTTCCCCTCCAAAAAAAAAAAACCACATGCTTTATAATAAGTTCATGCTCCACACACACAAACACACACAGAAATCTACGCCCACCCACCTGCCTCATTCCCGCCCTCAGTCATCCATACCGTACATATTCAGAAACCCACCCACTCATTCAAAAACCCACACACCCACTAATCCCTCCCAGTTTCTTCAGATTCCAACTGGGCTGGTTCGACCACCAAAAGCAGCTCGGATACATCCGCAGCAGTAGAGACCAATCCACAGCGGTCACCTTTGTTTTTGAGGACTATATATCGACTACACATGAAACGGACCAAAAAATAAAAAAAAAACTGGCGGAGATAATCTGACATCAGAAGCGTCGAGATTGAGCTCATGTGACCCCGGAGCAGCTGGTCGAGCTCCAAACCCCAACCAGATCTAAACACATTCCTCCAGTGTAGATTCATGTGTAACATCACAGGCCTCTCTCTCCCTAGCGGTGTAAGATACCAGAGCTCAGCCCACCGGAGACGGGTGGGCTCGAATCAGAAACCCAACCACAAAAACCATGTAGCGTAAACTGAGGAGACGCAGAGATCCGACGCACATATGGACACATAGTTTGTGCACACATGCGTACACACCCAGAGTGATGAGGGAAGGGGAGACGGTGGTAGACAGGGTGGTCCAGGAAGCAGAGCCGGTTTACTGTGGACTTTAAGTGTAGTGTGGACCAGTTGGAACAGGTTCTTCTTCCAGTATCTTGTCGGTTTGGTGGAGTTGTTAGACCAGTCAGAGTAGATTTTGGGTTTGGTTGATTGACACTCTTAATATACTTGTAAATATACAACAAATTAGACTTTATCAGTGATGAATGATATTCCCTGTTGTTTACACAAGATCAGGACCGGTATCGGTATCAGTGGTGTCTGGTGGATGTCCAGTCCAGCTCAGGGGCAACGTTTCTAAAACTGTTCTTGCTTTTATTCTGAAACATAATCACAAGATGATTTAAAATGTCGTGCTTAAATTGTCCCCCCCCCCCCCCC